TTTCTGCATTGCATAGCTGCAAACTTAGCAGAAAGCGTACCGGTTGCTGGTACGAGGATGCGTTTTTTGCACAGTTCCACCCACAGATTTTTTTCGCCAGTGGCACGTTCTTCCTGGCAGATGCTTCTAGCTAAAAGAATTGGGACTGGCCACACGACTGTTAGAAATTATCACAATGACTCTCAAACCATGGCCAAAAGATCCAGCGCTCTGGATGCTTCGGCCGCAGAGTTACGTCAAATTTCACATGTCCGTACGTGAGTGGCCACGTGAATGCTTTTTTCACCCGCAGTTGCCCAAACACGGTCCAGAGTAGCGCTCAGAAATTTTCAGCACTCTAGCTGCTTTGGTTGCAGTTACGTAAAATTTCACGTGTGTACACGTGACACGTGAAAGTGATGTGTAATTCGTTTTTGCGTATACTTGGTCAAAGGTCACCGTCGGTTATGCTCAAAAAGTCCAGGTCCTCTGGCTGATTCAATTCTGAAGTTACAAAAGCGCGTGCGTGAAATTTTCACGCTTTCGCACGTGAGATGCAGAAGAGCTGACAAGTAACCTACTCACACGGGCACAACAGTAGGCGACAAGTAACGCTGCAAAATTGCAGCCCCCTGCAGCCTATCGGTCAGTTTAAATCTGGAGCTAACACGATGCCAGTTTAAACTTTGACGTGTGCGTACGTGAGACTCGAAGGTGCGTTAAGGCTGAATTTAAAATCTTTGGATTAGACGCTGGCAAGGGACATCTTTGTGAAGTTCCAGCCTCCTAGAATGGGCCGTTCCCGAAAACGCTTTCCCGCCAAAAAAATTTCACGTGCCCCTACGTTAGAACCACGCGGACCTGAGCGCCCATTTTGAGTGTACTAGCCCGCACGTATGTGTAGATTAAGTCAACAAATTTTCAGCCTTGTAGCTTTTGTGGATCTCGAGATGAAAACTCGTTACAGGCGCACACACATACACTCACAAACACAGATATACAGACACACACATACACACAGACAACCCCTCGAC